CCCCCCATTTTCTCCTTGAACGACAGTGCTGGTGCGCTGTTGAGCCCGACTTGACCAAACACGGCCCAGAGCTTGACCCCATCGAGTGCGACCATCTTTGCTTCGGCACTACCACCGACGAGTACTGTGGAGGTTTCAACAAGATGAGCGTGTACGAAATCACGGCATACCAGGGCTGCCACAGCGAGGACTTCGAAATGCCCGTGGAGAAAGTGCTCGCCTGGGTTCCGGGCTCAGAGGATAAGCAGGTTATCGGGCAGCCATGGGATTTTCAGGAAAAGTTCGACACCGTCAACTTTTTCTTTTCGGACAGAGGTGATTCCTCCTCGTTCTCCAACCACGTTCGCAACGGATCATCATGCGATGTGTAAGTTTGAAAGCCATCTTAATACTTTAACATCATAATGAAAAGTTAAATAAATATATATTTTCCAAACAAGAGTAATTTGTGAGAGCCTCATGAAAGCCTTCTGGGCACATTGAGGAGACTATCGGGAAAGCGGACGAAATGCCCTTAATGCTCTCATGAGGATAGTTATTGACACGGGTAAGAACTACCGAACGATTATGTCGGCAAGGTTCCCGTCGTGAACTTTCCATCCTGGTGGGAGGAACCAGTCAACCGCCGCTTAACCGCGGTCATCTTCTTTTGCCGCCTCTACCAAACTCGTTACGTTTTCAGCCAAAACAACATTCACTGCATGGTACTAATGCCCTAAAAACTACGGCGAAGACATACTGGAAAAGACACCGGAGTACCTCACTGAGTTCTACCAAGGCCAAGGTCGAGTAGTGCTCGCTCGTAGTCGTTGTCCCCAGTACCGGTAGTCGTGTTCTTTCGGGGAACTGTTGTTTGTGACTTGGATGGAGCTTGCACGATGAGAACGTCTACTGTTGTTCTTTCTCTGGGTAGAGCAGACAGTTGGTCGTTTTCCTGATTGTACAGTCAACCTCAACATCAATCCTGATTCTTTTCAGGAAAGACGACCACAAGAAGCTGTTACACCAGACACACGTTTGGCAGGGTGCCCGAAAGACAACTCCAAGGGTATTTTGTGGCATCTACACGCACCAGAACAACCATGCGACGAAAGTGAAGGCGAGTGGGTGTTTGTATCGATCGAACAATCGCCTGATGAAGCGCGGTCCTACTGTATTGAAATAGCGGTCAAACGTGTCGCTTGCACCGCTCCTGTGTTTTTCTCTGGTAGCGCCCTGTCGGGCGGTTACAAAACTTGCCATCGATCTCCGTCGCAGGAGATGTGAAGCGAACGAAACCGCAGGCTGTCTTTTACTGTTCGCTGACATGTTAGTGGCAACAGTTGGGGGTCGACTAGACGCCAGGGACTCCTGATGCTATCGATGGCAAAGCGTTGTGACATTCGCACATGGTAGTGTATTAGATGCTCGACACATACACAGAGAGATACGGGTATTGCCGCAGAAGGCGAAAAAAAACACCGCTAGACAACTGAGACATGTATCAAGCTTCCGCGATGCATTGGAGTCAGGACAATGTCCTTCGTGCACTTGTTTCATGCGCACCCTCCCAAAACGAAGTCTCGGGCAAGGCTTGGCCTCGCATTTATCCCGCTGTCCTTTCCCTAATGCTACTGTATCCTATGTGAGGACTGCTGCTACCGTTGCTGTACTCTGCTTGGTCGCAGGCGATCAAAGAGACATGGGCCTCCCACTGTGACGGATTTGTTGCTTTCAGCGATGCCGCCGACCTCGAACTTCAAACGTGAGAATATTTCGTAACGTTAGTTCTTGGCACCATATCTCATTCCACGCGGCCGACGTAGACAATGGTATACCAGAATACCAGACAAGCAAACAAGTCTAGAGTTACAGTAAGCCCAAATACGAGAGCAAGATTATGGAGAAAGGTAAGTGACGAACGACGGTGTGGGGAAGATCGCTTTCTTGACTAATACAACGTGCCGACATGTGCTCGTCGACGCAAAATCGATCAGGTTTAAGATAAAGCACGAAGGTCCGGAGGAGTATGCCAATATGTGGCAGAAGAGCAGAGCAATATGGAAGTACGTCAACTTCCACTACAAGGATGATTTCGATTGGTTCGTTCTTGGTGGGGACGACCTGTTCATCATCGTGGAAAACTTGCGCAAGGTTTGCCGGGGCAGATGTAGCGCGAAACTTTATTTTTAGCTCTAGTGTCGTTTCAACCTGAGACTCCGGATTCACTGTCCGCGGTACTTTGCACCCAAGAGATTTGGGAACCTACTGAAGAGCTGAGATGAGGGAATTTGCTCCCGACTTGTCGGTGTTTCCTTCATCCTTACGTGACTAGGTGCTACGCGAACCTTCGTGCGTCTTTTTCTCGCGAAGAGGACGACAGGACGAAGTTGCGCGCAAAGGAATGCCCGCCACATGACAATTACCTGAGAGGTCTGGCGAGAAAACACTGGTTGGATCGTGTCGAGAATAGAGACGCCCTCTTGGTTCTTAAAGCCCTGTTATCAGCTAGCGTTTTGCCTGTCCAACACCCCCCTCGCGTAATCGAAACGCAGTACCTGCTATCGGAGGAGGTCAAGCGCGCGGCGGGGGGCCTGGAGAATGGGGGCACAACCCCCGTGTATCTTGGAAGGCGTTTACGCGGGTTCGGTGACGTTAACCGAATATACAACAACGGAGGAGCGTCGTATGTGCTGAACCAGGCGTCTGTGGGGTTGCTGGCTGACCACTTGGACGATGACGACTGCCAGCCCCACACGAAAAAGCCCTGGGAAGATGTGCTGGTAAAGCGTAGGCTGGTTCTAGGAGCGTCAACCCAGTGAGATGCAACCATCGATGTACGAGAGAGCAAGCTGACAAGAAATGAGAGGGGGGTGAGGAAAGGCCAGACATGGGGGCAGAAGACTGAAACGAGGAGTCGCAATATGAAAATGAACCCCAGCCAGGTACCCAGGTGTATCGCATCCCGCCCCTTCACACACACAGAGACACAGAGACGGGGACAGGGAGGGATGGAGACAGACAAACAGACAGACAGACACATAGAGAGAGAGACCGACAGAGAGTACGGTAGTTCAGTTCATGGTGACGGTAGCTCCTGCACAATCTGTAACTTTAGCCTTTCGCAGCCGAAATCAAAGCGTTGGGCCATCAGCGCTGAGTACTGTGATGCTTTGGCTTCGGCTCAAAAAACCTCGGATGCTGGGGTCCAAACGGCCCGATCATCTCTATCTGAATGGCGTCACCCTGAAAAATAGAATGTCCTCCAGACTTAATGAGGTGTATTTGTCATTTTTGTCGAGCAACGTCTTTCTCAAGACTCCTATTGATCTTGTCGCTCCCGCCCGGGAATTTTGGCGTGCGTGCATTATCGAGGCACCAGATTGGCTCATGCCTGAAGAAGAACGGTGTGGAACCTTTCGACACCAGGGACAACCTCGGGCGTGAGCGGTTCCACCCCTTCACACCGGGGGCTCACTTTGGGTGAGTGCGTGTGCATGCGGATGGGCAGATGGATTGTCTGTCTACCGTTCTTGTTTCGTTGTGCCGGGTAGCAACGTTCAGCAGACGTAGTCAACTCGAATAGAAAAAAGGGGTACGAGTACACAAGCCCTCAGCTGCACCCAACGTCCTATGACGGAACGCTGGGGGTCTGGTTCCATCTTCGCAGTCAATTTTCTTTCTCGCGTCTCTCTTATTACTTCGCGTTCGACGAGCTTTTCGAGTATCTCTCTCATTTCTCGATTCCGAGCACCATCAGCATACCGTTGCTACCGGTACCTTGTACGGGTGAGCGCTCGTACTCGTGGAGAATGCTGTTGTCTCTCTGACCCCCAAAACGGAAAACAGGGAAATGTCGTGGGATTGCAATACATGTTAGTCTTGCATTAGGTATGACACACGTCAAGAGGAGAAGATCGACCCGTGAAGTCTGTCAATCATGTCAAACTTGAACGCTCATGTGTCTCATCACGTTGCCCTACTGTCTTGGGATCTCCTCAAACATGTCGCGGTGGCAGGTATCGCAAACCACCAAAGCTGGAGAATCGCCACGTGTCAGGGTGTAAGGTTGGCGCATGGTACCTCATCCAGGCTATCGATCTGAAGTTCGGTCGCGAGTGCTGCTCGGACGACTCCATCAGTTTCCACTACGTAGATGAGCAACTTATGAGGCGGCTTTATGATCTCCTGTACCTCTGCCCCAAGGACGCAGTAGATGAAGTAGCCGTGGTATGACTTCACAGTGTGTGCTTGAGCGCTTCAATTTCCCCTTCAGTGATGGCGTTGCGGAGGGTGCCGTGCGTGAAGTATCACGCACTGTTTTTCCTTCCATGGTGGAGGGTAGGTTTGCTTCCCTCCAGTTTAACGCCTGTTCCTATTCAGCGCCAAACTGCGACGCGTTCTGTTTCCATGCGATCGTGGATGATAATCAATTCGTATGTACACCAAGTGTATCTTCATGGTGGATGAAGGAAAGACACGACTAGATCCTTCTGGCGATCAAAACTAACAGCAAAAATACCGTGGAAGAAAAAGGCTTGTTGTGGCTTGCTTCCAATGTGACCCTTGCTGGTGAACCCGAAAGACATGCCGAAAGGTGTACGTATGGACATCCAGAAATCCGATGAAAAAGACACGGACAGAGAAAACCTATAGCGATATACCCTGCAGCGAAAAAACTTCAAGGATGCATGGTGAAAAGTCAACTCTGCTGCCTACTGTACCCGGTGTTGTTACAGGAACGGCACACCCGCAGCACTCACGTACAAGCCATACAATACACCACCCAACACAGCCATCTTGAGACAGATTTTCGTTTGGAAGTGACGATGTAGGAGAAAAAGGGCCTTTAGGGTAGCTCCTGGGGACCTGGGGAAATATGGTCACATAGCTCATTCGAACCAACAAGCGGCCTGGCGGGATCCAACTCCCACAGCCCCATACGCTGGCCCGGTCGTTCGGGGATCGCGTCGGAGTAGAGCGCAATCGGCGGCCGCAAGCAGTATGGTGGTAGAGAAAGATTTACCAAGAGCCCGTCCGCCGGCCGAAAGGTATCAGCCTTCCAGTTGTCGTTGCCGTCAACGTTCGTGCTCGCCATCAAGAATCGCGCACCACTAGCCTCTATGTTCTGCAGCATCTGCACGTTGTGTTGACGGGCGAGGTGGAGCATGACGTCCCTGCCAAAAACCGACGCAAAGAGATAAACAACAAACCATGCATTGACGTGTTCAGCTATGGACGGCCCGCGTTGCCAGCCCAAGGGGTCCTTAAAAGTGAGACAATCGTTACTTCCTCTTGGGCTCTGCATGGTGGGCTTCAAGAACACCGATGAAAGTGTGTAGCAAACGTTCCACACCACCACGGCATGGCAACATAAATTTCAGTCAATGCTGAATGAAGCGCTCTCAACAGCCCGAAACGGCCGCAGGGGCCCTGTTATTGGACTGCGGTAGACGATGTCTCGAACGACGCTTCGCTAGACAGGCGCGGTTCTTCAGCATCTGACCTGAGGAAGATGAGGTCGTATGGCTTTCCATCCATGGAGGGTGGTATCCGCTCAACGAGATCGGCCTGGATAAACGAAGCCCCATGTAAGCCTCCTGCGCTTGCCGAAGCCACGGCTTCATCTCCCGACCCCCCACTGTGGTCCTGTAGTTTGGAAAACTTGCGTCGATTGTCTTCCACGACGCTGGGGGAGATATCTACTCCGAGGTATCGGACTTGATCGATACCACGAACAAGAGGCATCCAGGTCGCGTCTCCGCAGGGGGCGTCGAGGATGCTCGTCACCCCATTGGAACGGATTACCTCTTCCAAGGCTAGCCGTATTCTGTTCGTGTTGTGCACTGTCGAACCTGGCCCACTCCGGGTCTCGGCCCAATACTCCATTCTGCTCAAGTAGAACAATTGCAAGGACGTGGCACGTGATATCGGCAGAGAGGCGGTGAGATACTGCAGGCTTGGTGTCTTGATGGGATGTTTGCCGATTTTGGGCCGATTTTCCAACTTCGAGCGCTTTGGATGTGGTGGCATGAATCTGGCTCCGTATACATGGGACAATCCCCCACTGACGGGCATCTGTGCCCTATCGTGGTACGGTTCACGAATTCAAGCAGACACTGCGAAATTTCTTCTCTAGCGCCCGTCGTCGTAGAAACTGCTGTAGTCTATGTCCTGTTGAATGGCATCCTGATATTTGGTTTCGGGGAGTACGTTCAGGTCTGAAGGGGGGCTATTGTGGACTATATGTCTAATTGCAGCATTTTCTGTGCCAATATTAGGAGAAAACATCTGCTGAAATACCAGCCCCTTGGAGTGCTCACCATTTTTCAGAACATTGAAACTTTCTGGTATGCATGTTGTGTGTGGCCAAATATCTCGGGGATCTGCGATCTGCTGTGAACACGAACAGGAGCGCAGATCGACCGCGTCCATGTCAGGCGGGGGAAATAGCCCTACTCTTAAACTCGAGACGAAAAAAATCACGGGCCCCGCCAGCCCGCCGCCGGGCACCCTTTGACCTCCCTCTTCGCGGAGCCCGCGGGACGCCCGCTCTCCGCAAGACCCCGCCGTCGTGAGCTCACGGCGCGCCATGCACGACGAGCTGCCCACACCGGCAAAGGCGGAGGAGTCGTTCGCACCTGCATCTGCGCTGTTCTGTCACGATTAAGATTCGCGACGCTGATTGGACGAGACACCGCGGTGTGTTCCGCTCCGAACCAACATCTTTGTGGGCTTATATTTCGTGTCTGGGTTTGTTGCATAGAACGGTTGATGATTGTGTGCTGCGTATCTTTAATCCAGTTTGCATGAACCGCAAATCTATGCTTGCTGTGAAAAATCTTTATTCCACTCACCACACGCATCCCCACACTATTTACCATCGACGCGAAGCAGAGCGATGCTATTACGACATAGATATGTGTGGTGTTTTGGAGTCTTTGAGCGAGAGCGAAGATATATGTGATTCGGTGGAATTACATTTTATGGATTGTGTCGTGTCACATCAATTTTCGTTTGACAAATATAATATGTGTGATGTTTCGGAGCTTTTGAGCCAAGATATATGTGATTCGTTCGGTGGAAAAAATTTTTATGTGTTGTGTCGTGTCGCATCGATTTTTGTTGGACAATCAAATCTACAATTACTCTGGAATATCATAAATCATGGAACGAGCACTCAGATTTTTTCTTAAGGCGGGTGTGGGAAGCGTCCTCCATTATTGTTGTTTTTGTTTGATTTTGATCGGTTTCCGAGGGCTCTTCTCTCGAACGGTCGGTGCGGTTCCTGTTTTTTTTTTTTATCATTTTGTTTTTTTTTCCGAGTGGTTTGTACCCTATTTTTGTTTTGTTTCCCCGCGGCGTCGTCTGTGCCGGGTTTTGAGACCACGGGCTCCCAATTTTTTGTGGGCAATAGAGCTAATGTGAGAAACAACAACGAACAACAACAACAGCGACGTCGTCCACGCACCACGCGCGCTTGCCCACCCGTCCACGCACCACGCGCGCTTACCCACCCTCCTCACAAGCGAAACCAACCACGAAAAGATAAAGAATGAACGCTCTCTCGAAGGCATCGCCTCTGAAACGGAAACAAGCCGGAGAATCAACGTCACACGTCAAGCCCCGTCCCCTGCTGTCACTGGGAGTAGAGGGCTGGCCCTGCCCGGACCGCGAAAACTGCCGCCACGGCCTGCTCCGCTCCACTCCTGTTCTGGGGTAAATTAAACAACATCCGACCAACTCAAGAACGTCCCACTTGGTATACGTTTTGCGCTTTCTTCTACCTCACATTACGTTTCGCTCTCCGCGAAGGGCGGCGGAGCAAACAAAAGACGGGGGGGGCGGTAGTCCCCCGCGTCCGAGCCCTTGTAGTATCCTACATAGTTGCGGGAAATTGCATGAGTTATCAACACGGTTATCTGAGCGAAGCCCATCATTATACCTGTACACATTGTCGAAGTATGCCGAGCGCTTCTCGCTGCTGTCCAGGCAGGCACTCTCGCCGCACATGGACACGCTGGATGTAGATGACAACCCTTCGATTTCTGCATACGTTGACACGCTGTCGCCGGCTTCGGCCCAGGCCCTAGCCTCGTCCGAGTCATCTCCGGCATTCGTCGCAGCCTTGTGATGGAGGGTTGCCACTATCGTGTGCCACATGCCGGGTAGCGGCTTGTGAAGGCTGAGAGTGGTGTCCGTGCTCAGCAAGGCACAAAGTGGTGGTCTCCGATCCCCTTTCTTGGCGAGGCAAACGGAAACGCCATCCTCTCGGAGTGCCTCGATCTCCTCGTGGGTCAATATGCGCCCTTCCCGGCTTGACCTCAGGGAGAAGGCAAAGTTCATGTTCGTCCCATAAACGGCTGCGGATCCATTCGAAGGGCTCTCGAACACCAGAACTGCCGGGGGGTAGCTCAAGGCATTCGAAGCCGGGTTGGCGTGTGCTCGACTGCAACATATCACTGATGCTGCTGCTACTCCCAACAACTGGAGCAGGTTCCGCCGCAAGATGGATCCGCGCTGGTTTGGGCTCCCTCCTGCGGAGCGATCCGTCATTGAGTTCTGGGGTTTAGGATCGGGTGGGTCTCCCGGGTAGTAGATGGAGTTGTAAATGTCTGTCGAAATATGTTCGTTAAAAGGTTGTTGAGCAGAGGTTTCGCTGGTCTTCCTGAGAAGGGTAGTGAGTGGTGCCTTCCGTCCGGCATTCAATGATCACGCCCCAAGCGTGCTTGATTCGAGATTGCGCCGCGTTTTGTCCAGTTTTTTTTTTCGGGGGAAGAGGTAGAGGCGATCACCTGTCAAAACGTTGATACTGCTGTAGACGAAGCTCATCTGTTTGAGCGTTTACCTCAATAATGCGTTCGATCTCTTGAAGCTATGCTGCTTCTAGACACCAGCGTGCGCGTGACCATGCAAGACAAGGGGGGCTAGGGTACGGAAAGATCCCCTGCGATGGAAAATTGGTCAAGATCTCCGGAGAAGCACGCAATCTCCGGAGAAACACACAAGATAGAAAAAAAACAACCACACGGAAAGATCCATGCAACCTGTCGCTACCACACTACAGTCGTCTAAACTCAAAGTAGGAGCAGTGGGAGAGCTGAATGATCACAACCTGCCGCGGTAGGGTCGCCGGGAGTTCTGCTCCTGCTGCCGCTACCGTCTCTCCCTACGGTAATTGTGACGCCATGTTGCCATCAGCGTCGCCGTCCAGCTGAAGTAGTTGTTGTTTGTTTTGTTTTTTCTCCCATCATTGGACTCTGTCGTCTGCCCCTCTGGCCCCTATCCTCCACTTCTACTAGCTAGACGACCCAACCGGGGTCACACAGGAGGGGGGGGCTGGACCCCCTCCTGCGGTTCCTGCCTCAGGTATTTTATCGCGAGAAGGGTACAGCAATCCCTTCCCTCGTGACTTAGACTACGAAGTCGATTATGTATGGTTTACTATCAAACGAGCTTTGCAGCGCGTCGCTTTCATCCTAGACCAGGATTTATTTAGTGAGAAAAAACTCTCTCTGCCGGGACTCGAACCAATGACCTGGCCCTTAGCAGGCTGCGAGGCTACCCACTAGACCACCGGGGCAACCGTGTACGTATGGAGAGATATATCCTTCCTGATTAGTCTAGTCTATTGATGGTGGTGCGGTGGTGCGGTCGTCCGAGATGATACCACGACGGAAAAGGTGATGCGACCGCTTCTACGAAATTGCATATTGCCCCCCTCCCAGCCCGCCGCCAGGCAAACGGTGCCCTCTTGTCTGGGTAGGACGCTCGCCACCGCAACTACTGTAACTTACGCTACTAGTCTATCAGTCTTGTCGCTGACGGCGCGGCAGGGGAAACAAGGAGTGCTGCCGCCCAGCAGACCAGTTGCCATATTTCCTGCAGAGCGTCCAGCTCTTTGGCCCCTGCTGTTGCCATTCGGTGGTCCTCAACCGCCGGACAAATTTGCAGAAAACGGAGGTCTACTTTTCCGCCTCGCAATGGTTGAATTTGGTCAGCGAAGTCCAAATATCACCCGCGATCGTTCTCCAACAAGAGGCAACTCTGACAACGTATGTATCTACCTCGACGTGTCACACAGACCACGCCGACGAAATTGGAACTCGTCGCAGTGAGATGTGTTCCCCGATGCCGGCATGCACGTACATATGTATCTGCACAGTAGTGACCTCGGGCTGGCCCGTTTCTTCGGGCGATGCACATCAAGGCGCGACCGTCCAACGTCCCTCATCGACCTATATTGAGCTACAGATAGCGCCCGCACTTAAGGAATTAGCATTTAAGAAATTGAGACTCGCAAAAAATCCGAAGCTAACAACTTTAGCACCATTTGTGAGCTCGGTTCAGAACCCCACACTAAAACCTATATAGCGGCCATTTGTAGCCCACAAGAGGATGATCAACAAAATAAGAACCCCAGCCTGGGCCGAAACTAGAGGTTCCTAAATAATGTGCGGGCGATCAGCAAAATATCCTACACATTATTTTTCGAGAACTAGACTAAATAGAAGGCTCCAACGGGCACCACGGAAAAAGAACCTAGCCTAATGACGAAATGTTACACACCCGACTTTGTTGAAACTTCGAAAGTCCTTCGTTCGTGCACGAGGAAAAAATCGAGAGCCGAAGCTAAACCGCAATGGTCGTTACAACTCTAAATGGATGGATACAACCCCCCCCCCTCCCCCCATCGCCGTCACAAACACCCGCGCGCCCTGCAGGGTGTTCTTTTCTTGCGATCTTGGGACTGAATGCTGGACCAGGAGCCAATAACCTCTGCCATAACGTGAGCTACCTACAGTGTCGGTCACCTAACTATTGCGAATCCTTACCAACGACTCCTTCCTCAGCTCACACGCCGATATGCAAAAAAAGCGAATTACATGCAACAACGTTGTCGGAAGCCAGAATGGGCGTGTCATGGCCGGATGCCTGACGACAAGCATAAACGGGCGACCGGGCAACCCGCCACTTTCATCATTCCAAGCTGAGCTTGAGGAGGAGCACATCTTCCTGTCGCCTCCATTGGTTTCAATGATTGTCCGCTGCCATTATTCGGTTATTGAAGAGGGGGTAACTCCTTGACAAGGAAACGAAATCCGGGCGGTTCGTGGGCTGGTGAGCCCAGCAGCGGTTCATGTCCTTTTGGATGTCAGGAGGGGTGCCAGTGGGAATTTCCGGGCGCTGTTGCAACACAAAAACGCGATAGAAAACTGCGTCACTGCGAGCTAGCTCCGACCAAGGAGTTTTCCGTGACATAACCTCCCACAAAACCACTCCGAAGCTGTACACGTCGCTTGCGAAGGAATTTTTCGCGCCATGCAACACCTTGAAGGGAGGACGAGGATAGCACAGGGAGCGCATTTCAGTGCGTGTGGCGGGTTTCACAGACAGCAAATGACGAAGGCGACTGTAGGAGTGGATCAGACATACTTTGGCACACGATCGTCTCCCATATTTCCATAGAGTGCATTAGCTGCGATAGTTCCTGCGAACAGAAACTGCCCCGGTTCATGCCTTGTATCATTCTCGAACGGCTACTGTAGTGGATGCGAGCATCACTATACTTGCTGCGACAGTCACCTCTGGTGCGGTCCATTGCGACGTTATCTTGTTGGTGCCGCAGTCCGCCGTGTGGGTGATCAGGCGCGTGGAATCTGTGTGCTTCGTCGCTATGGACGTCCCAAAGTCTCCTATCTGATTCTCACGGCACGTGGCAAATATAAGACGAGACATCAGGAGATAAATCATCGCTCGTTCCAGTTCTCAGAGTAGAGGCAGGGCGACCATGAGCTTCCTGTCAGTGTTAGAACATGTTGGTCTGTTTCAATGCGGCACATGCGGAAATCTTTGCGGGAAAGAAAAAACAATAGGGAACGCTTATCCCCGTTGAATTTCTGAGGCCACCTAAACTCAGAGCCTTAGGCATGGACTTCATATTAACGTACAACCCTATGGTTCACAAGGCGTTTTCCTTGGAGACTCAACCCTGAACTCAGAGCCATGGCCTAGGCATGGCATTTCCGTACCTTGGCCCTGTCGTTCTCATCCAGCAACACGTTCGCAGACTTGAGGTCGCCGTGGATGGTGAAGTTGTTATGTAGAAACGCCATCCCGGCGCAGATGTCTCCGATGATACGTCGGGAGTCCTCCTCGGGAAGCGGAACCTTTGCGTTTCGGAGGAAAGTGCCTAAGTCTTGCTGGAGCAGTTCCATAACAAGTTCCAGGCGGTCAGGGTGGGAGGTGATCACGCCATGAAGTAACACCGTGTGAGGGCTCTTGAGATGGTACATCACGTCCACCTCCCGCTTGAACTCCTTGTGCTTGCTGCTCGCCCGCTCCGCCATCTGCGCTGACCCATCACCATTCAGTCCGTGGTCGATGTAAATGATCTACAGGGCAATCAGGTTTGAACGGGGTGGAACATGACACGTCGTTCAAAGGGTTGCGGGCAAACATGCACCAGAATACTGTGCACACAGTGTACGGGTGGAAGTGTTCACTACATGACCGGTAGTATCATCTCGGGGGAATACAACAATCCGGGGGTGACTCGCAACCAAACCAACGTGAGCCATTGGGTCCTCCGCTATCAACGCTAGTTTCATGCCTCTGTCCTACTCGTTGAACAAGCGATGCATTCTCTCTGGACGTGTTCTCTGTGAATTGCCACCTTGATAGCGACGTTTTTGCCCTTGTAGTCGCCCGAGAACACCTCTCCGAATCCACCCTTGCCCAGCCAATCCATTCTGTTGACGTCTTCCTGCGGGATCTCTATCTCGCCCCACTTCTGTTGTCGACGCTTACGACGTTCTTCCTCCTGGGATTCTGCGATTGACACTGCAGGTTCCTAGCACCAACGAGACCACGAAACCATCAGGGGAGGCGAAAGCAGTTAGGGGAAGGGGCTCGAACAGAACACAGACAACACAGAATGCCGACAGCACGAAGCATGAAACTGTTAGCTATCATCACACGAAGAACAGCTATTTTTTATTTATGTATCGGTTATGCAAACGCATGAAACTGTTAGCTATCATCACACGAAGAACAGCATTTATGTATCGGTAATGCAAACGCATGAAACTGATAGATACCATCACACCAAGAACAGCATTTATGTATCGGCAATGCAAACGCATGAAACTGTAAGCTATCATCAAACGAAGCACATCATTTATGTATCGGTAATGCAAACGCATGAAACTGTTAGATACCATCACACCAAGAACAGCATTTATGTATCGGTAGTGCAAACGCATGAAACTGTTAGATATCATCACACCAGGAACAGGATTCTGTATCGGTAATACACGGGTCGATGGGCGCACTTACCTTGAAGAGTAGTGGCTGAGCGCACCGTGACCTGCCGTCACTGAGTATGGTCCTCATGCAGCGCTTCATATCGGCCACTTGACTCCCTAGTCGATTGAGTACGTCGGCCACCGCGTTGACGTTGCTGCCAACCTCACTGACGTCGCTGCGAATCTCGTTGACGTCGCTGCGAATCTCGTTGACGTTGCTGCCGATGTGAACCCCCATGGCGAACTAAA